ATATTTTATCTTTTCAATCTTTTTATTTTTATTATTTTAACACAGCAACCAGGAAAACATGTTTTACATTCGTTTAAAAACTGATCCAAGACTTAGACGATTTACGTTTCGATGATTTTGTTTTCTTTTTAACAACGGCTTCGGATATAGGCTGTACTTCGGACTTTGGTTGTATGCCACCCGATTTTATTCGCTGTAGAACAGTCCGACGTGTTGAATTTCCGATTAAACTTTCGGGAGTATTTAATTTTGCCAATACCACAAGGAATTCTTTCCAGCCTATAGGTTCGAAACCTCGTCTTTCCTGAATAATATCCTTTACTAAATCTATTAAATTACTGCCTTTTAAAAGTTCTCCATCAAATAAAACCTCTCCGAACGCATTCCAGTCTATTACACCCGTACTCCTGTAACGTGTTATCCACTCTAGCAATTTTTTAGTTTTTGATTTTAAAGTAGCAGAGACTGAATTTAATGCATCGGCTATTATAGAATCTGTTTTGGTTTCCTTATCCTCCTCATCTCGTTTCTCGCCCGTTGTGGTTGGTCCTTCTATATTCATACTTATAGGCTTAGGATTAGTGATTCGTTTCTCTCTCTGCAAATAGCGCTGAAGTACTTGATTGTACAGTGTAACTTTATCGTAATCATTAAGATCTTGCCTGCCTAGTATATCATTCATCGATTTATCTAAACTATCAGACACGGTATTTTCTGTCCGTTCATTGCGTTTGTTATGTAACACAACGTCCGCCAATTCTTGGGGTACCACGATCATTTTCTTAGTATGTTCCATTATTTCAACAGTAGACTTCCTAAAGTCTGTAAAATAGGTTTTAGAACAAGACCAAGGAAACCACCTTTCTGAATCAAATTTGTTTTCTCTTGATTGCAGAAATTTTCTTATTGCTTATATCTCTCAAGTTCTTCTTGTGTCTACTCAGTTTCTTCTTATGAGCTGCGGTTATAGGAACACTGCCTTTTAAAACATTCATCGCGCACTCACAGATTGTCGTTACCAACTCTTTATCGGCATTTTGTAACAGAAGTTTTCTCTGTTTAGAAGTGCAATTAGCTAAAAAGCGTAAGGTCTCTGCATTTTTTCGCACACGTTTTGACATGATGATTTTTAAAGTAATAATGATACAAAGTACTTAAAGTTCCGTTTACTTATACTTTTGGCACGTATGCAAAATGTTTATTGGTTGAAAATATGTTTGTACGAATCCTCATCTCTTCCTGCGTATATGGTTTAAGGTCTATAAATAAGTATCCGTACGAATCACGTGTTGCATCATTAAATGCTTCCTGTAAAAATCTTCCTCTACCTGGGTACATTTGTCGCGAAAGATGAATTATTTGTGACTTATCTCGAGGGTTTTTGAACAGTACGATATAGTGAGCATTTAACGTTATGGTACGAATTTCTTTTGATCCATAGAAAAAATTTTGCATAATAAAAATAACCGAAATGTTCCTATGATGAGATCCTTTAGTAAATAAATTTACAATACGCTTATCTTGGCTACATTCTGTCATGAGATCGTCGATGATGACTAGATGATTTCTAGTCGAATCAAATTCATCTATAGTTTCTATAGGGATGCCTTCGATAAAAGCAATGTTTGGAATAGATTTTCTTAATTCTGAAAACAGTGGCTGGTATTCACCGTAACACCATAAAATATCATCAAACGGTTTATCGAAATATTTATTTTGTATCAATTTCTTTACAAATACTGACTTTCCAGACCCCGTAGGACCACTTATAACTGCAGTGAAAGGTGTTATCAAAGGGCTTGCCATGATTGCTATGAATACCTTTAAGATTACAATTTCGTTATATAATTTGCGCACTTTTTAGAAAACGTCTTGTTAAAACAATATACAGAGCGCGAGGAAAACGAAATACTAGTTGGTAACATTCACTCCCAAGCGGAGAATTCAATAGGTAAAGAGTGCTGAATAGGAGTTGAATATTACCATGAGTGCATGAAAAATTGAAAGGCAGTCTTAATGAACCCCGAAAATAGAAATGAATAAGTTAATAGAAAAAAGAACTGGCTTCTGTAAGTACGGACGCGACACACCCTCGCATTCAACGCAACATACAATGAAAACAACCCCTATAAAAGTAAGTTCTCCACTGGGTCGAGTATCTGTAGCAACAGACATTCTCAACGACTCCTGTCAAGCACATCAACTTATCAACGGTTTTTTTCTACAAGCAAAGGGTTTTGAAGTAAATTTGACTTAAAGACTCTACAAGACGCAGAGAGAAAAGTACCTGATTCAATTCAAGTACAGCTAAGTCTAACCGAAATTCTTTATTATTTTTAGTATTATTATTATTATTATTATTATTATTAGGAAATTCGAATTCATTATCTCGTCTATTGCTATTAACTCTAGTTGTAGTTCACGCACCTTAATTTAAGAAACTTTGATTAATTTAATTTAGAGAAGTAAATATGGATCAAAATCTAGCTCTCTCTTTTTTGTCTATGCCAATTCTGGTGATTGAAAGGATATGCCATTTCCTTTCATTCCAAGACATTATAACTCTACTAAATGCAATGCCAGAAGAGTATAGGGAGTTTTTGATTACCCTTGCGAGGAGGAATTATCGATTTAAATTAAGAGACGAGAATGGTTTTTTATGTCCATTCAATGGGGCGCATATAAATATACCAGAAGAAAACTTTAGCAACCACTTAAATTCATGCAGTATTAGATACAATGGACCATTCGAAATGACAACTTGTATTTATTCAGCAATGCACGTAGTTCCTAACTTTTATAAAGATAAGCACGAGCAGGAATGTGAGGAAAATTGGGACAACGAACCATATGTGTCTACTTATGCTCCTGGTCCGGAAATGGCTGAATTTTGGAGACAGAAATACAGAGCCGAGAGAAGTATCGGCTACAAAAGACTTTATTACTAATTCAAGACGGCCGTTTTTTTTTACATATTTATTTATTTTAATTGTTATTATTTATTTCATATTTACAACCACTAACTAATACTATATAATTTAAATGGTGATTGAAATAACTAATTATATTTGTTGTAATGTTATGTGAATATTACTAATATTTAACTAAAGTCGCATGGTATACAGTAACTAATCAAACACAGAGAAACGATTGCATCTTGTACTGTTTGAACGATAAGCAAAGCTTTTTATTTATTTCATCAATCAGTAACACATACATTGTAAATCATTATCATAGAATTTACATTAATTTACAAATAAAAAATATAATATTTCCCTTATAATTACAATAATTTACAATATATACAGCTTTTATATTTACACAAACGCAATACAGTTTCAATATTCATACAACATACGTAGTATTACCAAACATATCCATACGGTACAGTTTTGTAATCATTAATAATTATTCTCTTATCATATACAACCCTATAGTCTTTAGAAGCTGCTTCATTTACGATTTTCCTCGATTTAGGTTTTCTAGTTATACGATTAGACTCGATAGTAGTTATTTTATCTGGTCCAATACCCCTAACCATACAACTAACCGTTTTAAAATTTATCTTTTTTGAATTCTGATAATTTAGAGTGAAGCCTTTAACTTTACAAACCGTCTTTCCCGAGTCAAGTTTATACGCATAATTTTTAGGACCACCAGATACAAAGCACGTAATAAATTTTCCATCTTGAGGCCCTATCTCATTGGTTAGTTCACCCAAATAATCACCAATTGGAGGTTGCCATTCACCCGGGTTAGTAGTGTTAGAAACAAAAACGCATGAATCGGTGTCATAGTAAAGTAGACGATCCTGTAACTTTTCTAGCAAATCGTATAACTTAAGTCTAGCGGTAGCGGTTGTGAAAGCGGCGATAACAACGTTCACTTTCCTATTTACAGTAACGCTTTGTTCTTCACTCTCGTATTTCACTTCAGCTAAATTATCTTTTATTAAGTTTATATCGCTCACAATAACTTCGGGATTGGAAAGTAAATCATACACTTCGTGAAGGTCACTGCTGAATTTGGTTTTAGTTTGATTTTCTCTTTGACCAAACTTTCCCCAAAAAGAATTCAACATAAGTTTGGCGAGGGATCGTAATCCTGGGTTGTAAGCAATACTATCCTTATTTAATTTAATACCCTCGTTTTGTTCATAATCTTCAATGTATTTATCTTTATCAACATCGGTAAAGATGTGTATAAGAGACAGCTATAGGATTGTCTATGATAAGAGAATAATTATTGATGATTACAAAACTCTACCGTATGGATATGTTTGGTAATACTACGT